ATCAGATTTTTATTAATTGGGTTAAAAAGAATTAAAAAAAAAGAAATATGTTAAACGAGGTATTTGTCAAGGGAAAGGATAGGGTTGAAAATTGTTACCTTTCAGCTACTCCAAACAAAGTTACGATAACCTCCTTCAAGAGACCCTGGTTTTAGGCTATTTTGTGTATTATTATTTTGTAGCAGGTTTTTGGAGCTATTGTGCAGCTTGTTTGGACCATTTTGGTTTAGGTGATATCTTTCTGTCTCTTTCTCTTTCCCTCTTCATTTTTCTATGATACAAAGCAATTTTTCTTTGTCAAAAATTCTGAAGAGTTTGCATAGATTAGGGAAAATGATGACATGGGGTTTTAGCTATTTGTTAGCCTGCTGTATTTGGATTGCTGCTGCCTTGTTTGTTTTGTGTTGCTGCTGCCTTGCTTGTTTTGTGTTGCTGCTGCCTTGGTGCTTTGCTGCATCTGTTTTTGTACTTGGCAGTTTTAGCTCGTTGCTTTTGCAGTAGGAAAACATTTGTGAATTTCTATTACCTTTTGTGAACCAAAAATATCAAACTTTTTGTGATTTTCAAAAGTAGGAGATAGTCCATGATTAAAAACAAAACCTTTTAGTTATGATTCCAAATGTAAATCCTAATGATGAGTTTTCTTGTTTAACAAATCATTCTTGCTTGAATTTTTCACACGTTGATTGTTTGCTAATTTTTCTTTCTTTTGTTGCATGTACGAGCAATTGGATGGCAAGCGAGGTTGAACGACGAAGAAGCCATGGCGAGGAGTGGATGATTTTCTTGAAGATGAAGCAAGAGAAAATTGAAGAAGCAATATTTTTTTTGTAAGCAAAACACTCGTAGTTTGTATTGTAATTTGTAACTTTGTAACATAAATTGATGGAACTTGAAGTTTGTAAATCTCTTGTAGTAATGTAACAACTTTGAATGATTTTCGAGATAGAAACTCGAAATTTCCTTGTGTAAACTCATTGGTCTCAAAAGCTTGAAGGATATTGACACATAAGTGAATCAATGCAATTTCGAACATGTATTGAGTGAAGTTTGTTTGATAATACTGGATATGTTTTGAACATTGTATACCCTCTTGATTCCATGAAACTTGCACTCAAAATAAAACTCGCATGCCATGCTCGATTCAAATGGAACTTCATTGCCAAACCTGAATTCAATCTCTTGATGACAAAACATATGCTTTAAAAGTATTCATCAATCTTGTAAAATTAACAATTTCAACATTAGAATCATAGTGCTGAGAAAACAATTGTGGTATGAATTGAAATTAGGAGTTAAGAACATTTGAAATCAAGCAAATGACCTGTGATGATTCGATAACTTTCAAAGTCTTCCAAACACAATTTTTCTTTGATCTTTGAAGATAAACTCGTAAGCGACATCACTTATGACAATTTGCAGAAATAATCGTCTCAAAATATTGAAAATTGAGGAAATTACGATTCTTGGAAGTTAGGCAATAATTATTTAAGATTAGGTCAAAGTCCATGAAGCGACCTCTAAAGTATTCGAATTTTCGATGATCTCTCACACATAATCAGCTCTTGACTTGTGAAGAGAAATTGGAGACAATGTAAAGGAGAGTCATATGCAAACAGAACCGCTCAAAAATATCGATTAATGAAGAAATTACAATTGTTTAAACTTGGTCTCGCAAAAGATCGACTTTTGGGTCAATGGAGTCATTTTCAGTTATCTGAACCATCGACCGAGCAAACTTGCAATGCAAAGTTTGAAAACTGGAACGAATATCCTTGAGGAGACATGAAGATCTATGAAGACCATTTGAAACCTTGGAGACTCGATTTTCTTTGGGAAATAACAAACCCTAATTGTTGAATTACTGTCTAGGAAGAGAATCTATCTGATCAACTTTTGAGCCAAATTGAGTATTCGACAAACCCTAGGACAATATCTTGAATAAAATGGGAGGGCACATTTTGGGGTACAATAGGGTGTCTTTCAAGTAGTTTGATGCAATTACCAGAGGTTGTGATTGTTAGATATCACTGAGTTGATTTAGGAAGTGAGATGACAATTTCTCATGTTTAGGGAAGACCTAAGTAGAAGTTGAATTGGGTAGGGATTAAACAAGAAGTTGTAAACTGTGATTGTTTAGGCTTTGAGCTAATACTGCTGATAACGAACTTCCTTCCTAGCTTGGTAGCCTCCAGATTAGGTGTTGTTGTACATCGAACAGGGTCATCATATCTCTGTGTTATTATCATTCTACATTTTTCAGTTTTTGTGTCTTAATTGATTGTCATGTCTTATAAGATGTTGGGACATCTGTAACGATTTTGGACTGATAAGTATTATATCAGTATGCTTTGTCCTGTCCTTGTGATGTTAAACGGAGATCAATGTCTTAAACATATGTTAGGACATTTATTATTTGTATACCAGAATTTTAATTACTCATGGCAGTGGTATAAGATGACAACAATAATGTTTTTCCGCTTGCTTTCACTCTAGTTGAAGGTGAGACGAGTGATGCATGGAGTTTCTTTCTGAAGCATCCCCGATTACAGGTTGGTCCTCAACCTAACCTCTGTTTGATTTCAGACAAACATCCATCAATTGTGAGTTCTTATAATAACCTTGATAACGATTGGTAAGATCCCACTTCTACACATTTCTATTACATTAAACATATAGAACAAAACTTCATGCGAGAGATCAAAGATAAGGCGCTTCGAAAAAATTAGTTAATGCAGCGTATGCCTTAACAGGACCATCGTTCCAACACTATTGCAAAGAAATCAGGTTGACAAATTTAAAAGCATTAAGGTGGATCGATAACATTCCATTGGCGAAGTGGACCCGAGAAATATGACGATGGTCAACGATGGGGTCACATGATAACAAATCTAGTGGAATCAATGAACTCTGTGTTCAAAGGCATCAGAAACCTACCAATAACTATTTTGGTTAGAGTAACATATTTTAGGTTTGGGTCATTGTTCAAGTTCAAAATGGAGGGCATTGTTACAATCAGGGTAATTATTTAGTGAATGCTCTATGAAATCACTTCAGGAGGAGGCTGTCAAATCTAACACACATGGTGTCACCGTGTTTGACCATATTAAAGGTTGGTTCAGTGTGCAGAAGATGATGGATCATAATGAGGGGAGACTAATGCGATACTTGGTTCAATGTGCAGGAGATGATGGATCATAATGAGGGGAGACCAATGCGATACTATCAGGTTGAACTATATAGAAGTTAGTGCGATTGCAGAAAGTTTCAAGCCTTTCGTATGCCTTGCTCTCATGTCATAGCAACATGTTCGCATGGACCCAAGAGGACATATATCCCCCATTTACAAAGTCGAAAGTGTATTAAATGTGTACATCAATACCTTGTTCGCGTTGGCAAATGAGGATTATTAACCTACTTATCAAGGGGACATTGTTTGACACAATAAACAAATGCGAAGGAAAAAAGGGCCACCCTAACAACACACGTATCTGAACCGAAATGGATACAACAAATAAGATGATAAGATTATGCAGTACATGTCGTCTACTCGGGCACAATCGGAAAAATTGTCAGAATATTGGGTCTAGCTCTGCAACATAATTTTTATAATGTAATTAATTATGGAGTAATTTATTTGTTGTAAGCAAGAAATTTCAATTTAAATTCAACTTTTCATTTCGTGTTCGAGTTAACATTCAATTACAACAACCTTTAGACAATGACCCAAAAAATTATAACACAACAAACTTAAAACAACAACGCAAAACAAACTTAAAACAACAACGCAAAACACAACAACACAATAAGCAGACAAAATAACTAAACAAAGCATAATAACTAGGAGATTAAAACCATGAAGCCAATATCGGCTGGTCCAAGCATTATCATAAGGTCATCAGCGTTATTTTCACGGTTTTCCATGAACGAGTTACTCCATTTTGGTTGGACAACGTAATTTTCTTTTCAATTTTTCCGATCTGTTCACCATCAAGAACGTCTTCGTCCAACCAGCGAATCAAGTGCCTTTGAAAATGCTCGAACGTCTGCGTGTTCCAGAGTTTGATCTTCATCGGAGGCTTTGTTGGCACAAAAATAACATGAGCATCTCTTTTGATTAGTGAAAACCTTGACAAGGGGGTGGAAACCTTGGCAATGGAGTGAACGGCATTTTTAAGAGTGATGTGAAAAGAAGTGTGAAAAATGGTGAAGATGAGTGGTTATATTTATAGAAAATCAAAAACAACTGTCAAGCCACCTAGGGTGGCGCCTCCTCCTTACTGGTACATACATGCACCACACTGTATGACATTATATAGGAAGACAAACCATACAGTGTAACTCCTTATTTTATATACATGCGTCACACATAATGGCTTGCCCTCTGTAATAAATTTTTTTTATTTAAAAAATTGTTAATTAAATTTTTTTTTAAATGTCGTTGTTTGAAATTTTTTTTTGAAAGAAAGAGTTAATAAAAAAAAATCATATTTTTGAGTCCTACTAATGTTATATAAATATTTGAAAACGATAAATTTATCGAAAATATGGCAACAGTTTCGTATTAAAAAAACCATAATATAATATAAACTTAGGGTATTTTTCTCTTGACAAAAATGAAATAAATAATTTCATACAGATAAAAAACAATATAGGGTATCTTAGTATCTCACTCTCTCGTCTTCCCAGCTTCCGCAGCGTTGAACTTCTCCTTCAAGCTAGAGAGGTTCGAAGTCAAAAACCCTAATCATTTTTCATTTTCGCCTCTATCATGTTTTCTGCGGTTCTATTACATTATTCAGTTACTTTCTCTCTATTTTGATGCCAAAGTAACCTAGTTTCCCATTTTGTTTGATATTTAGGTCCTGTTGTTTATGGGCCACAGTTATTTTCTTAATTTGATTTTCGCCATCGTCGTTTGGGCTTCTGCTTACATTGCTGTTGCAGCTCTCGCTTCTTTTCGTGCCGTCAGTTATCTTTGCACCACTTTCTGAACTTCAATGGGTTATGCGCAGCTTGTTATTGGTCCTGCTGGTAGTGGCAAGGTAATTTGTTATATTTGCTTTCTTTGTTGGTTAAACTAATAGGTATTATGTACTTGGGGCTAACGTTTTTCTTTGTTGATTATGATTAGTCTACATATTGCTCGAGTTTGTTCCAACACTGTGAAACTGTGCGACGATCGATACATATTGTGAACCTTGATCCTGCTGCTGAGAATTTTGACTATCCTGTTGCCATGGGTAAGATGAATGCGTTGCGTTGTGTGGCTTCTTCTTTTGTTACTTCATGTTTCTTGTTTTATGTTGCTTTACTATTTTCGGTTTAAATGCTTGTAGATGTAAGGGAACTTATCTCTCTGGATGATGTTATGGAGGAGCTTGGATTAGGTCCTAATGGTGGCCTTGTATACTGCATGGAGTATCCTTTCGATTGTTTTCTTTAAAAAATTTTGCTGCCTGTCTTTAAAATCAAATTAATAACAATATTATGTACTTTTGCTTTAGAAAGTTTGTTGCCTTAATAATTTTATTTAGACACCTTGAAGATAATCTAAATGATTGGCTCGATGAGGAGCTGGACAATTATTTAGATGATGAGTACTTGGTTTTTGACTGCCCTGGTATTCATATTCGTTTCTTTAGTTATTTGTAGTTTATTTATATTTTGAAGTACCGGTATCCAAAGATTGCAATTATGAGATTTTTGGACTTTGAGGGGATAATTTTTTTGACTTTGAGGGGATAATGTTTAATAAATGCAAGGTTACAAAATCAGAATTGGTAGCATTATTCAACTACTGGTTATTGTAATATGTCTTTTTAGAATCCACGGCCACTTTGTGTAGCCTAAAACAAAGTTAATTGTATACAATTGATCAGTAAGTTTTTTGGTCGCAACTAGCTTGGCAAAATGTGATTGATCAACTTAGTTTTGCAGGTCAGATAGAACTTTATTCACATGTGCCAGTATTCCGGAATTTTGTTGAACATTTGAAACGGAGAAATTTTAATGTCTGTGTTGTGTACTTACTTGATTCACAGGTTGGTGATAGTTTTTGCAACTTCTGTATAAGTTGTACTAGTACTTCCTTTAAGCTACTGACTCACTGTTCTATTAGACTTCCCATTATTGTCAATATCACCAATAATGATTTTAAGACTAATGATTTTAAAATATTCCAGTTCATGGTAGATGTGACCAAATTCATAAGTGGATGCATGGCTTCCCTTTCTGCAATGGTTCAACTTGAACTACCTCACGTCAATATCCTCTCAAAAATGGACCTTGTGACAAACAAAAAGGATCTTGATGAGTAATCACCATCACTTAATTTCTTTCACTATTTTGTTTCCACTGCTTTATTTGTTCAATTCTAATATATGTATATGTCTTTTTTTGCTCTTAGTTTCTTGGATCCAGAACCTCAATTTTTACTGTCCGCATTGAATCAACAGATGGCTCCTAAGTATGCAAAGTTGAATAAAGCTTTGATTGACCTTGTGAGTAACCTAGATTATTTTAAGAATATATCACACTGTCACTAATATTGTAAAGTATGCATTCATTTTTGCGGGCTTTCATTGGCAAACCATTGACTAGCAATTAACAGTTTTGTTGTATAGATGCTGGGTTGTTGTAGACTGTAAGATACTAGGAAACAGATAGAAGTTTAATTAGAATTATTTTGGACTGAAATTAAGTTGATTTTTATAGATAATGGTCTATTCATTAGTTGAATTGATTTTTATTTTGAAAAAGCATGACAGTACTTGGTTAATGTCTAGAAAGCATGAATGTTGATTGCAATTTCAAGCAAGATTCTTGAGTGTGCACACCAAACCATGATTTTCACATAGGCAGTGTAGGCTATTTTTATTTGCTTAAAAAAGTAATTTCCTATGAAATGGTTTCTGTTCTCTTGCTCTTCTCATCCCATTTTTTTGTAAAAGTTGATGGAATGGAGTGGTGGTTTCATCATTTGCCCATTCCAAATCTTAGAAAGGACCGAAGGTTCCATTTCAACTCATTCCCATATCACTTCAATTTTAGAACAGAAATTTTTGATTATTCTCTTGCTACCGAAGCTTCTTAGATATTCTTTAGGTTATGCAATGCTTTGTTTTCCAGTCCATCAGTTTGTTTATTTATTTGTTTATTCCTTGTGCAACAGGTGAGTAGTTATAACATGGTGAGTTTTGTACCACTGGACTTGAGGAAAGATAAAAGGTACACACTTCTATCTTTTTAGTGCTTAACTTTTCTTCCTGTTCGTCTTTTGAGTGATGTTATAACCTTGTTATATAAGGTATGTGCTCTTGCTCTAGTTGACTGTACATTGTATGTTGAGAAAATACAGTTGAAGATGCTGAAATTTTAAAATTGAATTGTATAAACTTTTGTGAATTGTTTTTCTGAAAACGCATGTCATGATTTAAGTAGAACACAAATTATATGGTTCTTGTAGATTGCATTTTCAAAGCTACTGGAAACTCTTGGTTATGAGTTGTGTTTTCAAATCCTAAGAAAAGATGAATGATCTGATTGTCTTTGTCACCATTCTTTCAAAATAATTGGTATACAAAATTATATATTATACTGTGTAATGGAATCAATAGTTCTCGAAGCTACATTTCCTTGTAGTTTAGTACTTTGACTTTTGAATTAAACATGTTACTCCATCGTTGCCTCGATAGTATCTGATCCCACACAGCTTAGAGATATGGCTCGAGTATGCCTGAGCCTAACCTAAATCTGTTAATGGGCCACCCATATTTTGTTCATGCTTTTGGGCGAGAAGGGGGTTGTAAAGCCTAAATTTGTCCATGCTTCATATGCCCAGCCATGAGCATAAGAGAGCGTGTCAAGATCTTTGTTATTGGGCAACTTGCATTTTCCCACACTTAAGGGTCTCTTTGGTTCAACCAAGAGGACAGGAGGGGAGAGATTTGTATAGAGGGAAGGGGACGTGAAAGATCTTTAAAAACTGTGTTTGGTTCAACGAGAGCGGAGCGATTTTAATAAATGGAAGGTATAAAATTACATTTTTTTATCCTTATAATGTTTAAGATCTCATTAATTATAAGGCCTACTTAAGTCATTCTTCTTTCGCTTCCAAATCCTCCCATTTTGGAGGGAGCCAAAAGTTGGCATTGGAGGAATTTTAATCCCATCCATTCCCTCCAAAAAATTCACCCAAACAACTAAAACATAAAATAATCCTTCACCTCCCCTCCCCTCCCTCTTTATTCCCTTCCAACCAAACATACCCCAAGACGAGTGTGAGGGTATGTTGGGATCACACATACCCAAATAGCTTGTAGATATGGTTAACTTGTGCTTACAAGTTATAAAGCTTGGGTAGTTCTATCTTACAAGCTGATTTGTAATGTTGAGCTAGGCTTTAAAATTCAAATTATAAATATGCTACAGACTTCTGATAGTTTTATAGTTTTAATTAGATAAACATGTTTTGGGTATATTGCTTTTATCACGGGATTCTTAACTATTTGTTCAACCATGAATGCTCCTGCCTCATATCGAGGATGGCAGGTCTTGAAAGCATTTGTTCTAGATTTATTTTCACTGTTATTTATGTTCATTAACTGTTTTGGAAACTTGAAGGGGGTAGCCTTGGTTCAGCGGTAAGGTTGTTCCATTGCGACCCTGGGGTAAGGCTGCGTACATCCGACCCCTCAGAGCGCCCATAAAATGGGAGCCTCGTGCACTGGGTTACCTCTTTAACTGTTTTGGAAACTTGCAGAAAATTTTCGATTAATGAATTCCAGCTCTTAAAAAGCCGCAGTGATATTTTAGTAAAGTGAGCTACTTCACTACGCGTCTTTAAAACCCGGACTGTCTTTAAAACCCGGACTAGTTTCGTATCTATTTCGTATTTTAGAAGTTCCGCCTTTCTTTTTATGACCTCTGTTGTTTTTGTACCTAACTTCAACCAGGCGATTTTTGGTTTGTACTTATAGTTGGATTCTTCTCACTTACAGTATAGAATATGTGCTGGGTCAAATTGACAACTGCATTCAGTATGGAGAAGATGCAGATGTGAAGGTTAGGGATTTTGATCAAGAGGACGATGATTAGCTTATGTCCGGTTGCATCAATGCTTTGTGTGATACAAAGTTCAATCTTCAGAATGACTTAATGGTTATCAAAGCTCAAATTGTTAATAATACATTATTTTTTGGTTAGAATGTTTAGTGTGAATTTGAGAAGGATGCTTCAATACTTTGCTATCACTGTTTGCTTGAATATAACAACATAAACATATTTTGACCTCGTAACCTTGTTACTAATTCTGATAGCATTCTAAATCTTTGGATCCGAGATTGAAAGCTTGTTGAAGAAGCAAGTAGATATTGATTTTTCTGCAAAATAGAATTCCAGTTCTGCTTTATCTTATATGCTACTCTCTCTCCCGCTCTCACAAACTTTTGTGATAGACAATTTCACTTAGATTACAGAAAGATGATCAATAAGAGAAATTTATTGATGAAAATACTAATTTATCTTTAATATGCTAAAGAGAAAATGATACTTGAGTGGCGCAATTAAAAACAAATAAAAAAATACATTGGAACTTTAAGTGAGATCCTATTTGGGACATTTTTGTTGTAATGTGACTGACAGCAATCACTGGTCGCTGGAATTGGATAGTTCAAGAAGTCGTATATCGCCGCGCACTAAGTAGGGACATTAACGTGGCAGGGAATGCGTGGAGGATGTTTTTTCGCCTTGCATCCCAATGTTTTTCCATCTTCAATCTCCTTGACGGTGGAATATTTTCCCTATCTCCACAGATTCCCACAAAGAATCGGAGATACATGCAGATTGAATCTTTAAAAAAGTCTATATTTTTCAATAAAAAGGAATATTTTCCCTATCTCCACAGATTCCCACAAAGAATCGGAGATACATACAGATTGAATCTTTAAAAAAGTCTATATTTTTCAATAAAAAAGATGATACTAGTATTTAGTTATTGTTTCCTTTTAAAAAAAAACATATCTGTTGCATCTCTTTTTTTTTTAAAAGAATAAAAACACATGCATCAATAACAAAAAAAAAGCAAAAATATTTGCAATTACAAAAACATAACCACTAATTTGCTATTGAATGAAAAACAAGTTACTAGTTGAAGTATAGTGAAGTTGAAGAGTAATCATTATAAGCACAATGAAGAGTAATCATTATAAGCCCAATGAATAAAGGAGGTTTTTTTTTTTTTTTTGATGTTGTTGATAATATATGAGATAAGGAATGAATGAGACAAAGAGAACGAGAAAAGAAGAAGAGGAGATAATGTGTATATTGTATGTAATGGGTGCATTTTTATACAATGAAATAAAAAAGTAAAATGATCCATTAATAACTCTTCATTCTTAATATATTAATGATTTTTAATAGAAAAACAGGCAAAATCATATAATTATATATTAATAGTATATTATATATAAAAGTTAAATAATATGGTCAGAGTTGGGGAATTTGCAGGGCGGAGGGTATTTCCCCGTTCCCTTCCCCAAAGTGTCATAAGCAGAACTTTTTCCTCCATCTCCATTCCTGCAGGGGAAAATCCCTGACTTCGGAGCTCCGCACAGATAATCTCCACGGAGATCCCTGTTACCAGATATAAATTGACATCCCTAGCTTTAAGCGACCACCCAGCTTGCTAAGCACAACCATAACTCGTTAAGTGAGAGTCCAAAACCAGAACAAAATTCCCCTCTGTCTCCGCTCACTAAGCGAGACCCCTCCACGTTAAGTGAGGGTCTCCTCGTTAAGTGAAGGCTCGCTAAGCGTGAGTCCATTCTCACTGAGCGAGAATGCACAAACCTGCAATATAAAAACGTGATTCCTCACCATTGGAGCTCTTTCAAAGCTCTGATTTCAACCCTCAATCACCCAATTGCACATAAAACATCTCATATATATCATAGAATATTTAATACATCATATATTCACTAATTAAACAAACACCTAACCCATCATTTTATCTTGAATCTAAGGTTAGGTTCATAATACCAAAAACATACACATGAACACCAACTCAATCAATCACCACATACAAAGGCACACGAAAATCAGTACTAAAACAACACACGAATTTCATGTTATTCACAACAACCACAATACATTTTACACAAATCTTTTCCAAAGAACACATATATTAAAGTAATTATCCCATTACCTTAATTTCCAGCAAAAATCCAAGCTTTGATTATGCCTTCTCCTTCGTAGAACTATCTTTAGGGTTTTGCCATATCCTAATTTTTTACCTAGGATCCCATCATCCTTTCATTCCATCGCATAACATCAAAAGATAATCTCATTCATGCTTGCATCACTAACCTTGTAGAGATATCCGAAGTTTGTTTTGTTATTTTTACCAGAGAGGAGTCCAAGGGTTGATAAAGTCATTGGTCCTCAGAGATTCAAACTCCTCATTCATTTATGGTGATCAAATAATCATCATCTTCATCATAACTTCCCCACATTAGGGTTTCATCATTGGATTCATCAAGTGATTGAAAGAAATTAGGGTTTTGGCTCCTTAGATGAAAAGTCAGGAATTAGGGTTTGGTATTTGCAAATGTGTGTGACTCAAGAGACCCTCAATATCATCATCTCATAATCCTCAAGGTGTATCAACATGTTGAAGGTTGCATTATGATCATAAGATTCCCTGGAATTGAAAGACTTGAATTCATCTGGAAAAGTCAACTGCTCCAAGTCAAACTTTGACTTTTGAAATTGTTAGTCAAATATGGACTTCTTAAGTTGAATTTAATTAAAATATGGTTGATGATTGAATTTTCTCAAGATAAATCAAGAGGTTTGAGATAACTTGCAAGAAGGGTAAGGTTGGAGAGTTTGAAAATCTCACTAAGTGTCAAAATTTGGTGTTCAAAGTACATGATTTTTCAAGCTTGCAACTTTCAATCTAAGCAACCATTTTTCATGCCCAAAGGATCAAGTTGAAGATCTTGCTTCATACTACAACTTTTCCATAGGAAGTGAAGTCTAAAAAATACATGGATAAAGAGATATAAGACCATGAAGTGGATGATCCATTTGTTTTTGAATGAAAAAACACTTAGTGAAAATTCCAAGTATTTTGACCTTGTGAAGTATCCGACTTCATGCCCATTTTTCACCATGATTCCAATTGATTCAAGTCAAGTGGTAAGCATGAAAGTTGTAGAGGATGCTCTCATCTTTCCAAAGAGTCTAAGAGTATGAATTTATCACATTGAGCAAGGAGTTTCGAAGAGATGAAGTTGGCATCCAAAACTAAATTAGAGGTCCATTTTCAAATCAAGTTCATATGCAATCTCCAAGCCTAAGCTATATAATCCCACTTTTTAGGCCATTTAGCTTCTAAATCTCACCATAATCATATATTTACACAAATCCTCGGGGCATTACACAAAGTATCGAGGCTTTGTCCAAATCTTGGTACCATTTATGGAGCATTATGCATAAAGTCACATATCCATTTTGATAAAGCTCACCTTTTGCTAACAACTCTCTCCTTTCAAGCTTGTAACTTGCTCTAAATATCACATACAATCTCCATGACCAGAAGCAACCTTCTAACGTCAGAAAAGCATGACCATTCACCCTTAATTCACTCCACCTTTCATCATGTAGCATACATGCTTTTTTGTGCAAATTGAAACCAAATGGCCAAACCAGCCTTCCATATGAATTAAGAATGATTTCTGCAAGTTACATAAACCATTTGAAACCTCTATAAATACCTCTCAATTCCTCAGAACCAAAGACACCAAAATTTGCACTCAAAACACCATTGTTGCAATTTTTAAACCTTAAACTTCCATCCTCCAATCCTGTCGTGCATTCTTCAAATTTCCAGTTCAAACACCTTCCATATGTTCACTATAAGTGAACAATAACTCACTTGCACGACTAGAACACCCCCATTTCTCCACCCAACCCGTTCTCATTCACTACTATAAGTGAACTTGGTCAGAAAGTTTCAGACTATTTCAAAGCAAACTAAATGTTGCATTGTGTTCCTGGGATATCATACAAGCTAAAGAGATCATTTGGCACCTCTGAAAGTCACTACAACATACATTGGACCTTACTCCAATAGGTAAGTTTTTCTTGATTTTGAAGTCATCTATGCAAGCATCATCTTGAACATTTTTGGATACTATTTTGTGTGTTTTAATGTCATGATTGAAAGCCCTATGAAAATAGGCATTGGTTAAACATATACATAATTTAATTTAACTTTGATAGATGTTAGATTTTCTGGTTTTGGTCAAAATCCGTAAGCTATATTTGATATTAATTTATGATATATACATTTTTAAAATCCTTGTTAAATTCTAAGAAACTTTGGTCTTTATACTTTTGCATTTGGTTGAGAAATAAGGAAGTTAGAAATTTCACCACAGATGTTGTTGTTGTCTCACGAAGAAGATGAAGATGGTGGGTGGAGCCATTTTTCATTTTCAAATGCTATTTTATAATTTATTTAATTGAAGACACCCTTTGAATGAATTAAAGGGTAGCGCAGTTGGTAAGGCTTTGTGTATGTAAGGTGAAGGGCGCATGTTCTAACCCCGACGGAGTCATTCCCACCTTTTTCTTTTGTTTCTTTTACTTTTAGCATTTTGAACTCATTTCATAATATATTCAACTGGGTGCGCATTATTATCAACCATATCTTGTGGCCCAATGGTACTAGTTTTGAGTAGTAATCACCAGGACATGGGTTCAAGCCCCTTTGGCAGTAAAACCTATTTTTTAGCACTTGTTTTGTTTTAGTTTTCTTTCCATTTTATTTTAATTATTTATATATGCAAATTAATTTGTTTTTAATTGATTTTTTGCACACTTATAACTTATCCACTCTATTTTATGAATCCATGAGAAAAACCAAAAATAATATTTATTTTACATTATTTTATTTAGTTCAAAAACAAGTGTTTTTAAATGTTTCTTTAGGTTCTTTTGTGATGTTCTTTGATTGTTTCTTTGACCTAATTGCTCTTGTGTGTTTATATAGCTATGGTATACTTTGAGAGTGTCTTGCTTAAGGTTGATGA